TAACAAAGTTGTTTGTTAGGTTTATCTCTGTAAAATTGATATATTTTGGGAGATCAAAGATGGCTACTACTAAATCTGACTTCTTTTTGTTATACATCGCAGAAATCAACATTGAAGGGTTAATTCAAATGTTTAAAAATAATTTTGTAAGACAATATTTCTTTATTACTTTACTATATATTTTCCTGTACAAACAGTAAACTGACTTCAAAATAAAAATAATGTAGACATTATTTCACAGTACTTTGAACTGCTCTTCCTATACAATATTCTCATTTGAAAAATTATATATAGAAATTATATATAGATCTTGACCACACTTACCCTTTTGCCAATTTGCTGTAATCCCTGGAAAAACTCTGGAGATGCATGATTATCACCTCCCTCTGCTTGTATGGGCTCTACCAGTATAGCTGCAACTGGCTTGCCAGCAGCATTATATTTGTGAATAAGATCTTCTGTCTGGAATACAGATCTCAAATGAAACAAAAAATCTAGCTTAAAGTGAGTGTAAGTGGAATAATATTTATTCACAATATTTGATAAAAGCATATGCCATGAAATATATCATATACGGCTTATATCCTGTTTATATAAAATTATAAATATTTTTTTTCTTCTTTATACTAAAACTTACTTCTTCCAGACATTTTGCATCTTCCTGCTGGTTCTCATGTACATAATCTTCCAAAGGATATTTGTACGAGGGAATCTTGCCATTGGCCAATCCAAAGCAGGGATGTCAATCTTATGGATGGCTTTTGAACGGGTTGCTGAAAGACATCCATGGTTCTGCATGGAATGCACCTGTGAAACAAAATTCATCTTACACAAAATGGCTTGTTAATTTTTTTAGAGAGTAAACAATGAATATTCAAATACAAAGAAGGATTAAACTGTACATAATATTGTTGAGTAATTTTCTTTTCTTTTGTCTTTTTATGGGGTATAATTTTTTTACATAGATTTGCACTGGTATAATCAAAAGAATTTTTTTTTTCTTCATAATTTGATGTTTTGGTTTGATAGGGGACCAATTAATATGTGGTTGGTTTTCTCTTTCAAAACCACTTATGTATGAAAAATATTACCTTACGTAATTATTGAGAAGGTGAGTTCAGTTTATCATAACTATGGTGAGATGAAGGTAATCAAATTACTGTTTTAACTTTTTGAGCAACAACAACTGTTTTGCCCTTCTCCACTTGACTTTATTACTGTTACCTCCTGATATCCTTTTCAATTTTGAGGTCTTGCTTTCACTTGGCAAGATCAGTCTTTTCATTGTCCAAAACACAACAATTGCATTTACTGTGTGGCAAGTGTTCACTTTCACAGAAAACATATTTTAGTGTTTCAAACTCTGACACTTGCCGTCTGTTGAAGCCTGTAATACAAAGAGAATACCTTTAAAGGTTAACAATTTCTTTTAATGTAATTCATAATATTTGATAATTACTCCACAATGAATGGATTGCAACAAATAGCTCTTATTCTGAAAAAGCAAAGTGAACCATCATTATATTCTATGTAATATGAAAGATCATTTAAGTCATAGGTGACTGGAATATTAAAAGTAATATAAGCAAATATGTCAATTTTAATTAGAAATTTGTATTTCCATGAAATCTTTTGGTACATTTGGCTGATTAAAATTGATTATGATAAAATATGCTGTAAATCTGATTATCAAGACCAATCTTTTTAGACATAATGTGTAAACATTTTCCTTGAACACTATTAATAATAATGGATTAGAATCATAAAAGAATATTTTTTATTAAGGTGATGTGTCATGGAAAATACAAATGCTGATAACTGAAGCATCCATTCAGAATGCTGAATATTTTCATTCTGTCTCACACATTGCTTACAGAAGAGCAATATATGAAAAGCTGCCAATCTTCTATATAATAAGAATAGCAATCAATATAATGTCCTTACCAGAAAATGATAGCATAGTATAGGGTGGAGATCCTGGTGTCTTGTTAAGCATACAACTCTCCATCTCCTCTTTAGTGAAGTTTGTATCACCACCTCGTTCCTTGGTACGGTACCAAATGTAGATTGCTTTGAAGGCATTTTCATTACTGCATGACCCACAGGCCATGGTACACAGATTGCGAAGGCCAGTTGGTGCTACCTGTAAAGTATATTAATAGTAATCTCACACGTCAAAAAACTATTTAAATACAACTCTTTACACAAACACATTAAATATATTTCATTACCTTCATATCATAGGAGGCTGTTATTTTTTGTTTATGAATATGACACTGAGATAAGTTTTTTGCCTTATAGTTATTGAATAATTCATCTGTTCTTCATATTTTTTACAGTTAATTGTTTCTGTTAGGGGATTGTTAAGGATTATTGTATGAATTTCCATAAATCTAATAATAGAGTTATAGAGTTATATTCTATTACTTAAAAAAATAATTACATAATGTTGGCAACAAGGTTCTAAATATCACAATCTAGTGTATTGCTGGCTTTGACA